AATTTAAGTATAATGAGAATAAGTAACTGGAAAGCACCAGGAATAGACACTATATATGGGTATTATTGGAAAAGGATGTCATCATCAAGAGAAATCATTCTCAATATCTTCAATGAATGGTTAAACTTCATTCAAAACATCCCATTAGATATGATAAGTTGAAGAACTTTACTAATCCACAAATTGATATGAATGATGTCACTAATTATCGTCCTATCAGTTGTACAAATGTAATAATGAAAGTATTTACTTCCATATTAAAAGAAAAGATTCACAGAAGACTTAACATGAATAATGAATCATTTAAAATCAGTAGAAACCAATTGGGATGTAAATTATAATCTTTAGCTGCTAAAGAAGGAATAATTAATAGTTATATGTTAAAGCAGCAGAAAGAAGAGAAATACCCAAAATATGTGAAGTCATATTATGACATTAAAAAAGCATATGACACAGTCAACCATGAATGGGTAATTGAATCATTAAAGTATTTTAATTATGAGTGTGTCATCATTGACATTATTGAAAGTATGATGACTAGATGGAAGATATTCATCGGTTATAAATTTAATGAATATCTAGGTAGTATTAAATTAAATAGAGGAATTTTACAAATGATTCCTTATCAAATCTACTCTTCATCATTCAGATGAATGTGATTTCTCAAATCATCGAAGAGAAATTCCCAAAAGCAAATCACACTTTATATATGGATGATTTGAGAATAATGACAGAAAGTAATGAAGAAATGGGAATAATCCACAATGAAATTAAAGAAATAATAAGTGGAATAGGGATGGAAATGAATGAGAAAAAGTCAGGAATGGTATTAAAAACATTAAAGAAATACCAAATGGAATGCAAACATCCCAATCATTGAAGGTGAGGACTTGTATAAATACTTAGGAATATGGCAGTCCGACGAAATTGATGACACCTTCAATTGTAAAACCATCAAAGAAAAAATGAATCAGAAGATGGAAGAAATAAACACTGATGAAAGTAGTAATAGAAGATATATTACTAGAATAAACAATGAAGTAATCCCTATCTTCAGATATTCAGCATCAGTTGTAAATTGGAAAATCACTGACCTAGATAAAATTGATTTGGAGATAAGAAAATATTTAAGAAAGGCAAAATACATTGTTGAAACTCCAAAGATCGGTTGTATGTCATTATAGAAGAAATGGGTGAAGGATTAATAAATATAAATGATGAATATGTTATTGAATTAGTAAGAACAGTGATGTACTACTGTACCAGAGAAAGTGAAATAGGAAATAATATATTAGATAGATGGTACAGTAAGAAAGGAATATGGAATAGAATTCAAAACACTAATTCATAAAATAAATGAAACAAAAATAGAAGAAATAATAAATGAAGGGATAGAAAAGAAAAAAGAAAAAGAAGTAGTAATAGAAATAAAGAAATTATTGACAAATACATCAAAAAATGGAAGTGTCATCAAATAAGTGGACACTTCAGAAGATGGTTTGAGTCAAAAGGAGTAGATAAAACTACTACAGTGAAAGCATGGAAATCCATCAATATTAAAAAGAATGCATTCCTACAATTAACTAAAATGCAAGATGAAGCAATATTTTGTGTGTATAGAAAATCAAAAATAATGAAAAATGAAAGATTAAAATACTCCACACTTTGTAAAGACAAGATAGCTACAGTAGAAGACATTCTACTATCTTGTATTTATCATAATAAATCACAAATGGAAAAATATGACAATATTTGCATTATAATATTGATTAATAAGAAAATATACAGGAAATAAACAATATAAAAAACCCCCATATGAAACAATGTTCCAATATAAAGACATCACTATGATATTGAACAAACAAATAATTCCTAAAAGTGATGGACAATACCACAAAATACCAGACATATATGTATTAGATAAAAAGAATAAAACTAGTCTATTATTTGATATGACTATTGTATTATCACAATATTAATTGAGTGTAAATGAAGAAAAGAAATAAGTATAAGGAATTAAAGAATATTCTAATGAAAATAGAAAAATTAAAAGATTTCAGAATAATTCCAGTAGTAATCTCAATAAATGGATTAGTGAATAAAGAAAGTATCAGATTAATTAAAGAAATAAAAATTGACATTGACATCGAGAAAGAAGTAAAAAACATTGTCATAAAAAACATGATGGATGTCATTGAATACTGCTTCAATCACAATCAAATATACTCCGTAGAGTTGCTTGAAGATGAAGACGAAGGGACGGGATTAGTCTCCCCTAATGCAGGAAGAATAGAAGCTAGTTCTAATAATACTTAATTAATTGCTTATTTTATTTAAAATTGTAATAATTGCATAATAAGACATAATACTTCCTATACTTAAAAATTAACAACTGAATTAAACAATACTCAATTACCAAACAAAATTTGAACAATACACAGTTGAACATTTATTCTTCAAAATATCTTTCTCTTTTACTCCTCCTTCCAGTTTTCTCAAAAATCTCTAACATCTTCTTTATTTTATCAACTTCTGAAGAAAGAAGAGAAGGATTTTTTACAGCGATAATTGTTTCGTTTAAAATATTTAAGAATTTGTAGATTGATGTGAAATCGAATTGGTTCTTGAAGAAATGACGCTGAATGAATTTGAATAATTCCGTCTGAAAATATTCAGAAGGTTTATCAAAAAATTCATTTAAGATGTTTTCACCAAATAAACTAAATAAATAAATAACGAGGAATCATTACCAAAAGAAATTAATAAACACAAACATTACATCATTCGAATTTTCTAAATTAAACCCCTTTACTTTCATCAGAACATATCGTAATCCAATTCTTCTTATTGTATTATCTTTCCAATGAAGAACTTTATTTTGAATATCACTGACAACCAAAGGAACACTATATGATGATGTAATGGGAATAATTGCAGTTGATTCTAATGATTGTTCAATAACTTGTTTTAATTCAATTCGTAATGAATTTACTGAGAAATCACAAAGAGCATCAAATGGTGATACTTTAATATCAACAACACAATCAATTGAACCAACACTAATCAATGCCCATGGAAATGGTTCTGAGACCAGTGCTTTATTAAGAAAATAAAGTGGAACTTCCTATAAATAAGTAAGACAAAAATAAGATAAACATTTTTTATTGAACAAACCTGTGATGATGCATTAATTTTTTGTTGTTTACACAAGTCAAGTAAAGTTGCCTCTTCAGCTCGAAGAACATCATCAAACCTATCACATTTAATTTTAATTGCTAAGTCAATATCAAAAGTATCATTATTATCAAGATCTCCAAATAAAATTGTTCTTACAGTACTTCCAATTAATTGAACATTAGTTAGTTCAATTTCAAATTTCTTAAACATTTCCAGTAATAATTTTAGAAATGACTCTAATGTTGTTGTTATTGATTTGTAACTATCTGTTACTATATTAGGTGATATTGTCAGTTCCATTTCCATCAATTCTTGAATAAATGATATCCGGTCTAGCTTTACAATAGATTCAAAATCATCTTCATTACTTTCCCTTCTTTCCATCATTCTTCTATTTAACTTTTTATTTCCAATTTTTTAAGATTTTCAAGTTCTTTTGAGAAAGAAAAAGAACTTAACTAATAAAGAACTTCAAATTTTTTTATACAAAAAATCATAAAATATTATTATTGTTTTTTCCTTTCATTTTTTCTTCAACATAATCTCGTGTCAAAATGAGATCCAAAAAATGATTAAATCACACAAATGAAACTAAATCTTATTCTCAAAACCTTTATATTAAAAGAGGATCAATTAAGCGTGAACAGAACTAGCAATACCAACTTTCCACATTCTGATCTTGTTATCAACGTGTCCTGTGAAAATTATGTCTTTAGTAGCAGAGAGACAAATAGACATACAACTACTTGTCTTCATAAATCCAACAATTTCTTTATCTTTAATAGCAACAACTCCAAGCTCAGTAGCAGCAAGAAGAGTGTATTGTTCTGGGTTTTCAGCAAAGACAATTTGATAAACTTGGCAATTAACAGCAACATCATAAAGGAATTCATAAAGTCCAGTACCATTATTAAGAGTCCAAAAAGCAATATTACCATCTTTACCAGCAGTAGCCATAATTGATCCATCTGGGGAGAAAGCAATGGTATTAATAAATCCAGTATGATGGGTAATAGTTGATTCTAATTTGCATGATTGGTCAAGAGTCCATGTTTTAATTTGATTATCCCAACCAGCAGAAACAAATTTGTTTCCTTTAGCATTTGGAACAAATCTAACACATGAAACCCATTCAGAATGAGAATCAGTTTTAACAGATGCAACACATTTACCAAGAGTATTCCATAATTTAATAGTTTTATCACGTCCACTTGAAAGGATTTTAGTATTATCAGCAGAAAAAGCAACTGACATAACATCACTTTCATGTCCAACAAATCTTCTAACTGATTCCATTTTAGTAAGATCCCAAAGTCTTAAAGTATGATCCCATGATGATGAAATAGCAAATTGTCCATCATTTGAAAGAACAAGATCACTAATGAAATGGCTGTGTCCATGAAGTGATTTAGTTGGAGCGATAATTTCTGGTTGTGCTTCTGAGTTTGTATCAATTTTCCATGTCATAAGAGTTTTATCACGTGATCCTGAAACAAGAGTATCAGCTTTAGTTGTAGCAATAGCAAGTGCAGTAACAGCACCATTATGTCCATTAAGGGTAGATTTAAGTTCAAAACTGATGTTCTTGTTAGCCATGAACAATGAAGGATTAATGTGATAGGGTTGAATTTTTAGTTTTTTATTTTTTAATTTTATTTTTTTTATGAGAAAAAAGAAATTATAAAATAATAAAAAATTTATTATAAATTATAGTAAATGATAAATTATCAAATAGATGATTCTATGAAAAGTTCTTCTTTAAGTAGAACGAAAAGAAGAGAAAAGGAAACAGAAAATATGATTAATCACTTTGTTGAGGATAAATGACAACACCAGATACTGAAGTTATGTCTATGTTACGTGCACATCCACAAGGATGTTTAGAAACAGATAAATCTGATTTTATAATAAAAGCAATTGAAAAAATTAAAGAAAGAAGTTTAGTTGATGTAGATTTACCAATGTTTGTAAGAATTTAAGTTATCAAAAAAGTAATTTAATAAATAGATGTTTTGTTATAGGAGTTGCTAAACATCCACGAACACATGAAAAAGTATTAATAATTGCAATGAATGGAAAGAGACATAAGACTCATATTCTTAAATTTTATCTTGTTTCATCTAAAATGGAAATGTCAGTTTATTGTTATTTTAAATTAGAAGAACAATTTCATGGAGGAGTTGATATTAATGATTTTTCATTATATACAGCATGTTTTAGTGATAGTTTAAATGGGATAGTTGTTTTAGAAATGAAATGTTTGTTATTTTATTAAATTTAATAATAAAATAAACTATACAATATAGTTTATTAACAAAATAAAAAGAGAATTAATAAAAAAAGCGTATTATAAAACATATCTTATTATTAATCAAGCTGATAATGGTAGAATGGAAGAACTTATTCCAGTAGGATATAATGATAATAAATTTATTGGACAAATAGAAATTATGACACAAGTTATTGATAAAGAAACATATTTTATTATGCATACACAAGATTCATTATGGACAGTGTCTATATCAAATGGTTTATTTTCTAAAAAGATTCAAACATATAATTATCCATTAGGAGGAGAATCATGTTGTTTTGCATTAAGAAGTAAAAATGGAATATTAATTGTTACATCTAAAGATGTATATCAATTAATACCATTTCAACCATTAATTAAAACACAAGCAAAATATCATGCATCATCACTTAAAACATTTATTGAAATGTATACTCGTTATAGAAAATTAAATGAAAAAGGGTCTTCAATTTCAACTTCATTTATTAAACAAACAAATGATTATTCACAATTTATTTCAACAACAACATTTCCATTAATTGAACCACAATATCTTTGTAAATTACCAGAATCAAGAATTAAAAGACCAATAATTAAAGTAGTATTATTAGATGATATTTATTATTATATATTTATATTAAAAGCTATTGTATGGATTTGTAATGATAAAGGTGTTCTTCATTCATTAGATCCAAAAGGAAGTCCATATGAAAGTATATTTATTGATTCAGACTTCATCTTTTTTGTTTCAGATCAAAGAGTTTCAATTTATGATTTTCATCCAGGTCATTCACCCATTTTAGTAGAATCAATGAAGTCATTAAATACATCAAATTTATTACATTTAAGAAGATTAGATACTAATGTATATATTGATGATAATACATTCAATCTATTTCAATTAGATTATAATCCTCATTTCTTTGTTGAACATCTTTATTCTCCTTCTCCTTATAGGTCTACTTTTCTTCATTTATTATTTCAACATAATGTAACATTAAGTCAAACTAAAGATGTTCCTTTTACTATTGTTCCATTTTTACCAATTAAATTTGAAAATATTACTGCAGATTATTTGATTGATTTCTTTACTTATGGTATTCCTGCTGAAATACGTTGTTCTAAATTAAAAGGACTTCCACCTCAACAAATGGAACATTATTTTCAGGCATTATTTTTCTTTCCTATTTCATATGATGTTAAAAGTATTAAAGAACAATTAGAAATTTGTGAAATAAGACTACCTTTATTTGGTCGTTTACCTACTGAAAAAAAAGAAAGAATTAGAACTCCAATGGAAAGAAATATTTGGGAAAAAGAATTTAAGAAATGTTTAAATTTAATTTTCTTAAATTCTTTTTCTGTTGAAGGTCAAAATTTAAAAGGACAAGAAGAATTTGTTAGAAAATATGATGAATTATTAAACCATTGTATCTCTCATTGTTATACTAATTTTGATAATTACTTAAAAGAAAAATATAAAAATCAAATTGGTGTTGAAGAAGAAAAACATACTTATAACCTTATTTTAGAAAAAATTCATTTTTATGCTTGTATCGAAGACTGTCTTCATCAGTTCGGTTTACAAGCAAGACAAAGAGAAACTGTTGATGCTTTAGTTATTGATGCATATCATGTTTTACCTTTTAGAGTTTTTACACAGTGTGTTTTAAGTGGTTGTTTAAAAATTTCTCCAATGGCTTATTGTACTATTGTTAATTCTATGCCACCTACAAGTCAGAATAGTGACTTAGAAAAATTATTTAATTGGACTTTATGGAAAGAAATTCCTATAAATGCTAAAAAACCTATTAAGTTTGTTCTTTCATTTTAATATTATCTTATAATTTTAATAAGTCTAAAAGTCAATATATATATATTGATGTACTAATGTAATAGAAAAGAAGCATTATACATTCGAAATGAGTGTTATGTAAAATATATTAAAAATTTACCTCCTCCTATTCATGAATCAAGTTTCTTTGAAACAGAAACAGATCCTGAAGTTCTTTTTAGAAGATCACTTTTTGGTTATTGTATAAGAACAAATTCTTCATCTTCAGATCTTCCAATCTCATCAGATGTCATCCAATATTTAATGAAATAAAAATCTTTCATTTTTCTCTAATTAATCTTCTTTCATTCCATATCAATCACACAAATTTTAATATTTACAATTTTTAATGGTATTTGATTATATTATAATTAATAGTATAATTATAATAAATATATAATAAAAAAATATAATAAACTTGAGAGGAACTCAAAAGAAAAAAAACCCTAAAAGTCAGACAATGGTTGTAGTCCCAAAGACCAGAAAGACCTATTGCCCAAGATGTGATAAACATACACCTCATAAAGTTTCTCAATATAAAAAGGGAAAAGATTCACTTCATGTCCAAGGTAAAAGAAGATATGATCGTAAACAACAAGGTTTTGGAGGTCAAACTAAACCAGTCTTTAAGAAGAAGGCTAAAACAACTAAAAAGGTTGTCTTAAAGATCGAATGTACTAAATGCAAGTATAAGCTCCAAAAATGTTTGAAGAGATGCAAACATTTTGAACTTGGAAATGAAAAGAAGGACAAATAAGAAATTATCTTGTTCATTTATTCTTGGTTTATAAAACATTTTTTTTTTAACAAAATTAGAGTGATAAAAATTGTTTTATGATTTTTTTTTTCTTTTATTTTGATTATCTTTGGCAGTTTAAAGAATAAAAAAGAAAAAAATTGAAAAAAAATCTTTGAAAAAGTAACAAGTGAATAGATGATTGAGATTATTTTGATGATATGGTGTGTTATGGGACGATTCATTGTTTTCTCTAATTCAACAGTCTTTGTTTCTGTTTGTTTAAAGAAGATAGTAAAAATTATAGAATGAAAATTAATAATAAATAGAATAATAATTTAAAATGTCATGAATGTCCTAATTATTCTCTTAACCAAATCAATGATATTGAGTATAGACCAACTACTTGTAATAATGAAACAACTACGATTAATATGAAATTATTGGAGAATAGACCTAGTGGTGTTACAATGGCAATTTATAGTATAGATTTACAACTTAGTTATTCACTTGATTCATATGGATTACCATCATATATTGAAGTTATAGTTGGAGAGAATGAACCAGAGAGATATGAATTAGAAGATGAAGTTGTAAATGATGAATGTAGTGATTGTGTTAAAAATAAAGAAATTACATATTCACCTCCATATGGACAAATAGGAAGAGAAATACAATTTAGAGGATTAGGAAATATTGTATGTATTTCAAAGATAGAAGTAATACAATTTTTTACAATTGAAGCATTAAATATAATTGATTATTATCCAGTATTAGGACCAATAGAAGGAGGGACATATATTACATTTATAGGAAGTAATTTTAATAGTAAAGAACAGTATTATTGTTTAATTAATGGAATTAAAATAGAAAGTGAAAAAATAAATGAGCAACAAAGAAGTTGTATTACTCCAAAAAATAAAAATCAAAGTCAAATTGAAATTCAATTATTTAGTGAAAATTTTCCATTAACAGCATTAACAAATGTTACATTTGATTATTATGATGTTTTATTTGAAAGTGCAAGAATTTATAAAGATAATGAAGGATCTAATCAACAAATTGAAGTATGTGGAAAAGGAATAATTAAATCAAATAATATAGAATGTTTAATATCAAGTCAAGGAATTAATGAAACAAGAGTTGGAGGAATTTATTTAAATGAAGAATGTGTACTTTGTTTTTATAATACAGAAGGAATAACTACACCAATTGAAATAATTATTTTATTAAATGGACAAAATAAATCAAATAGTGTAATATTAAGAATTAATCAAAAAATAACATATGGAATAATTATTCTTATTGTTTTAACAATATTAATTATTATTCTAATTACAATTGGAATGTTTATTGTAATATACAGAATTTATAATAAAAGAAAGAAAGATAATATTAAAGGATGGATTAATATTAATGAATTATATTTAAATAACAAAATCTCTATTAAAACTAAAAGTGTTATTTGGATGGTTAGTTGGAAAGGTGTTAAATTTGTTTTAAAAGATCAAATGATTGATAATTCAAATGAATTTGAACAAATTAAAGAAAATATTAAAACAATAAAAGAAATTAGACATCCTTGTATTATTCAATATTTTGGTTATTCAATTGAATATCCTCATTTATATCTTTTAATGGAATTTATGCCAAAACATTCTTTATTTAATGTATTACATTCTAATTTAAAAATTATTCCAATTGCAACAAAATTTAGAATTATTAATGAAATTTCTAAAGGATTAGCTTATCTTCATGACCTTAATCCTCCTATTGTTCATGGTAATTTAAATTCAAATAATGTTTTAGTTGAACAAAATTATTCAATTAAATTAAGTGATATTTGTCTTGGATTTAATTTATCTTTAAATGATTCAATTCCTTGGAAAGCACCTGAAGTATTAACTGGTAATAAACCAACAACTAAATCAGATATTTATAGTTTTGGAATTATTTTATGGGAAATAATTACAAATCAAATTCCTTTTGATGATATTGATCTTAAAGATGATCTTATTCTTAATATTGTTCTTGGTCAACGTCCTCCTTTAATAAATTCAATACCTGTTCCTTGTAAAGAATTATTATTATCTTGTTGGAAAATTAATACTGAACGTTTAATTTCGATTGATGAAATAGTTATGAAAGTAGAATCGTGGAAAAATACTCAATTTTAATATTTATAATTTGTATTGTTGTTTTGTATTTTACTTTTTCTTTTATTGTTATTTAATTCTTCTTTCTTTTGTTATTGTTAAAATTTTAAACAAAATAAAAAAACTCCTTTGAAATAATATTCACTTTTTTCAACGTTATTGAATTTCATAAATTAAAACAAATTTTTAATTTATTAAAAATAAAGGTATATTTGTTATAAAAAACATTCTTTTTTTTTGTTATTTGTTTTTTATTTTAAATAAAAAGAATAATAAAATAAACTAATAAAAAAAAGATTTAACTAAAGGATATTTATGAAGAGAAAAACTAAGGATATTCAATATAAAATTAATAAGAACGCATTAAAAGAAACAAGACTACAATACGCTTATGATTCAAATGGAAAAAAAATGTTTCATGGTGCTTTTGAGGGAGGGAATGTCAAGGAAATAGATAAGATTGAAACTGAACAATTTGAACCAATGGGATTTACATACTTTCAGGGTGGAAAAGGAAAAAAGATTGAACTTGGAATTGAAGATATTGTTGATGATGAAGATGGGATTGACTTTAAACAAAAGGAAAAAGAGATTGAAAAATTGATAAAATCAGGAATGAGTTTTGTTGAAGCACAAAAATTTTTGAAAGACATCCAATGGGATGGAAAAGAAAGTATTATTGTTAAACGAAAAGGCAGAGATTATGAAGTGACATT